AATGCAGAATGCCATGTCTTACAGGGCTGTGAAATTCTTGGCCCAATCTCAAACCCCAGACATCCCATCTCCCTGATGGGCCAAATGAGCCCCAGTGCTGGGAAGGCTTGGTTCTGAACTACACTTCTTGGGCTCAAATGCAGCTTTGGTCTGCTCACCCTGCCCCAGCCTGTACCAACCTTTTAAGCTTGAAAGGCTGTTCCTGACTGACCCTATTGCTGCCAAGTAGGGTTGGGGGGGCAAGGCAGCAAATGTGTCAAAGGAAAAACAGCATAAAGTCACACAGCTGAGCCCCTTGGCCTCTCTGATCAGAAGGAGGAGCTCTTCCTGTAAGAGGACTGTGCCCAGAACACCTACGCCACAGGGTGGAAGACTCCTCCAGCTTTCCTGCTATCTAGCTAGATGATGCAATATGCTCAGTGACTATCTAAGCAGGGGGTCTGTCAGCCAGCCCAGTTGCAAACCCCTCCCACCAAGGGGGGCTTCCAGCACAGCCTCTGAATGGCATTTTTTTTTGTAGCAATCCACTGGATGGCTGGAAAAGAGCTAATATGAGGACTCCAGTGTCCTACCTGCACAGTAAGACTTGCTGTACACATGGGACTCAGGCAGTCTTGGAATCTACTTTAAGAAGAACTGAGTCTGTTCTGGGAACAGCGTGTTCCTTTTGTGGAGAGGCCACAGCACAGGGCAGGTTTACTGCCTGTACCACTACCAGGCCTGGGCTCTCAAAACAACTTCCAGGAAGGTCTGTGCAGCTGGATCAGCAGGATGGAGAGGTCTGGCTTTTCAGCACTTGGGCTGGAAAATCTCCAGTTATCTTCATCTGCCTGCAGTCGGCCTCATTCTCCCAGCATGCCAACACCCGCCTGGCACCCAGAGGTGCACAGCCTCTGCTTGCAGAGCTTTCATCAAACATGGACTAGCTCTCTTAATGCGCTTCCTGTGGCATCCCCCAGCCTGGCCTGCATGAGAGCCAGCATAGTGACTAATACAAACCACTGCTTTCTAGCATGCCTATTGCAAGCAGCTGGCTGTAAGGGATTAGCTGGGAGTAACTGACTTAACCCTGCACAGGCTGCAGCTACAGCTCTAAACTTAAAGTGAGAGCACATCTTCCCCCCCCCCCCCCCCCCCCCCCCCCACTCTCCTCAGACTGGAGGTGGAACTTTATTGCGGACTCTTCCAAGGTAACTTCTCCTAGTGGTGTCTCCTAGCGCCTCTACCACAGGGAAGGTGCCATTTGCCAGCAGCCTGGACACAATCATCTGCTCCTGTAACTCTGCAGCGTCTCCCTTTGAAATGGACAGTCTTCCTGACGCTGCCATTCTCAGTCCGATGCTATAAGAGGCCCAGGTGCACAGTTCTAGCTCTTCCTTGGCACTGATGCTTGGTCAGTGGTGAGGCTGTGACCTTGCAGGGCTATGCAGTGCCAGCTGTTAGTGGGTGAATGGGCATTTAACTAAAGAAACATGGGGCAGGAGTATGGTGCTGCCCTCTAGTGGAGGAATTAGAAGGTAAAGGACCTTCTGCTAACCTGATCTAAATCAGATATTCTAGCTTGGTAGTGGCCTGTGCAATCTCTTTGCTCTTCTCCTGCCAGGATTCTAGCCTCATTTTCCCCCGGTGGAGCTGGGATTATCCAGTGACTGTCCTCTGGGAGCTTCTCCATTCAGAGTGGCACAGCCCTTCAGCTCTAGGGGCCGTGTACACTTGGCTTAGGTATATGGCATCTCCAAGGGCAGGCTGGGAGATGACCTGCCCCACTGCCTTGGGCTGGTCCCTTGAGACCCAGGGAATGTTTCTGTCTTCCTTATTTGCTGCATCATGGTAATGCCTTCCCACTTCTGACTGCTCCCAGGATCCTGGGTGCGCACCCCCTTCTCTAGGGCTGATCCCACTAGGCTGGTGCTGCAGTGTCCTCCTGCTGGGGGAGGAAGCTCTGGGACATCAGGTCTTGATATTGGCCAAGGCTCCCAATCCCCAAGTAGCAGTTATCCACCAGGTCATGGCTGTTCCAGAGCACCCCTCCTTGTGCTATGGACATGGTCCTCATGGGAAACTCAGTCACAAGCACCTCTGAGTCCTAGTGACACATGTCCATATGCCAGTAGCCTTGTCACTGGATCAAATACCCCTGTTAGCAGGCTGGATGAAAGCAGATGGCCAGATGCCTGTTCTGCCCATCTTATTTCTATTTCCATTTTACTCCAGCAAAAGTTCTCACCTGGCCTCCCAGCTTACTGAGCCAGTGACTGGGAGTGGGGTTGTAATGCTGGGTCTGGTCCACTTAGTGAAGGGGAAAGCAGCAAGTGGGCCCTGTGACTCTCAGCTGTGCCAAGGGGCATGTCCCCATCTTATACCAGCTGTCTGATCAAGTTGATGGGGTCAGGCTTGTCCTTCAGGTTTCTCTCCTGGGGGCAGGATTGCAGGTCCTGGTGAAATGGGTGTGTGGGTGGATGTGTGGGCATGCCTTGCCATAGGGAAGGGGGGCTTTGCATGAAGCAGGGATGCCACAGCAGGTGACCTATCAGTTCCATGTGCCAGGATCACTAGTATAATTACTGTGATGTACCCTTCTGGGGTCTTCAAAAATGCCAGATGGCTTGATAACCCCCAGCACCCTTGCTGGTGGCTTGAGTATCTCCTGACTGATCAGTGTTGCTCCTCTCGCGAAAAGGGTTGGCAAGCGATAGGGAGTCCTCCCTTCACTTTCTCTGTGTGCTAGGGCTGGTTGTGTGGAGAATTGGGATGTAGGTACTAGCTGCCTCTGGCCAGGCCCAGGCAGAGAGGCTGAAGCCATGTTCTCTGTGGCAGTGTTGTGTGCCACTTTCAATCTCCCCTAGGGGATGCAGTGCTGCTGGATTGTGGATGAGCTGTAAGGCTATGGTCCTGAGTGGGTCTGGACACTAAAGATCCTATGGCAGGGCATGAAACCTGGTTGTGTAAGTAGATTCTCTTCTCCCCCTCTCCACACTCGATTTGCTGGACAGAATGGAATGGCCCTTGACTTCTTCCAGCTGAGTATACCCTAAGATTCCTACCCTAATGCTAACCAGGGCTGCTGGGCATTGGTACTCTGCCTCCTTCCACCCAGAGTCTATGTCCTTAGTTTAAGGTTTGAGTCAGTGAGAATTTGTGACTAACTTGATGTCATAGCTCTATCTAGATAATCAATAGGGAAACCCCCTTCCCCTCCCCCAGCTTCCTCATGAGTTGCAGTGTTAGACACTTCCTGTACAGCTGGAACTCAGCAGGCCAACTTGAGAAGCTTTCTATCCCCAAACTCTGTAGCCTGTGTATCTTGTAACAACCTGTGCCGCCCCCCCCCCATGCTAGTCTGTCTTGTTGCTATCAAATGTACTTGCCCTTAACAGTGACTCCACGAGTGATCTTTTCAGAGGAGTGCATGGCAGTCAGCTGGTGGCTCCCTCTTCCTTCACAGGAAATCTTTCTCCCCAGCTCCATTAGGAGAAGTGTGTGGTGTGAAAGGACCCCCTCACTCTAATGGGGTTCAACAAGGATAAGTGCAGAGTCCTGCACTTAGGACGGAAGAATCTCATGCACTGCTACAGACTAGGGACCGAATGGCTAGGTAGCAGTTCTGCAGAAAAGGACCTAGGGGTCACAGTGGACGAGAAGCTGGATATGAGTCAACAGTGTGCTCTTGTTGCCAAGAAGGCTAATGGCATTTTGGGCTGTATAAGTAGGGGCATTGCCAGCAGATCAAGGGACGTGATCGTTCCCCTTTATTCGACATTGGTGAGGCCTCATCTGGAATATTGTGTCCAGTTTTGGGCCCCACACTACAAGAAGGATGTGGAAAAATTGGAAAGTCCAGCGGAGGGCAACAAAAATGATTAGGGGTCTGGAGCACATGACTTATGAGGAGAGGCTGAGGGAACTGGGATTGTTTAGTCTCCAGAAGAGAAGAATGAGGCGGGATTTGATAGCAGCCTTCAACTACCTGAAGGGGGGTTCCAAAGAGGATGGAGCTCGGCTGTTCTCAGTGGTGGCAGATGACAGAACAAGGAGCAATGGTCTCAAGTTGCAGTGGGGGAGGTCCAGGTTGGATATTAGGAAACACTATTTCACTAGGAGGGTGGTGAAGCACTGGAATGCGTTACCTAGGGAGGTGGTGGAGTCTCCTTCCTTGGAGGTTTTTAAGGCCCGGCTTGACAAAGCCCTGGCTGGGATGATTTAGTTGGGAATTGGTCCTGCTTTGAGCAGGGGGTTGGACTAGATGACCTCTTGAGGTCCCTTCCAACCCTGATATTCTATGATGTTGAAGTGTCACACTTCCCAAGCCCCCAGGTAAACTCCCCTAGGAAACCGTTGCCAGGGCTTATGATATACAGGCCTAAAAAAGGCAGATCGTTGTGCTTGGGGTCTTAGACTCAAATCTGAGTGGTGTGAACAGGAGTACTCTGGTTAATGATTTGTCAGTGTGTTAAGACAAGGACTATGATGCTGCAGGTTTGACAGGCCCGCTATTGTGGGCTCCTACCAAGATGGCTTCTAACAACTCTGGATGCCAAGCCATGCTCCTGTTGTATTGATGTACTGGCAATGCCAGCCTGTGCCCTCTTGGAGGGGGTGGCTAAGATTGTCCCAAATCCAGACATCTTCCACATCTTGGCTGAACTCCATATTGGTCCCATTCCTAAAGCCAAATCTTAGGTGCTAAATGGGGGAAGAGGCTCTCTTAGGCTAAAGGGCCTAAAATGGGAATAGGAGTCTCCTGACTTATCCCACAGTAACTTAAGCTCAACTGGTACAAGAGCCCTTGGTGGTGCTGGGGTCTGGATAGCCGCATGCAGTCATAATGGTAGACTTGAGCAGCAGGCCCTCCTGAGGGACAGCATCCAGGTGTCGGTCTAGAGGCCACTCCCCCCCCCCCCCATGTGCTGGGTGGAACTGGCGCGAAGGGGTGTTCAACTCCCAGTCTCTAGTCTCAGTGCGACATGTTATCACAGTAGCAGAATGGCTTTCTCTTCCAGATGCGCTGGTATCCTCCCTCCGAAGCTACCCAGCAAGGATGGAAGTCTCGTCAGTTTTGTTAGTTCTTCAGTAAGTATGTCTGCTTGGAAGTGGGCCGGGGACAGTGCTACTATCTGTTCTGGATCCTTGCATTCCTGACCTCCAGGCTGCAAGAAAATCTGGCCTGGACTTGCAGTGCTGCCTTGAGTGGGACTTGTATAGATCATTGTGGAGGGAAGAGTCACTCATCCAGGCAGAGAGTGGCAAGCATTCTCAATAGCCCACACATCTCCTACAGCATCCTGCTTAGATGATGCAGGGACTGGAGTAGCAGAATTCCCTTTTCTGTCTTCCTCTACTAACTGCATGAGTTCTGGGGCCCTCTTGTTCCCAACAGCTGGTGTGTAAATACATTGACCAACCTGAGGACTGCATAGGAAACTGTGGCCAAATTAATACTAAAATTGGCCTGGGTGTGTTGCATTAAGGGTCTGAATGTCAGATCTGCTCACTCAGATTGCAGCTGTCTTGGAGAATCCTTAAAGGTAACGAAAAGTAAGTGTGTAAAACTGAAGATCCTGGCAGTAAACTTTGAGTCCCATCATGCTTGCTGCAAGTCCAGCACAACTATTCTCCAAACCCACTCCTTAATGTGAGCGCCTGGGTAACACTGACACTTGGACAGAGCTCCAGCACTGCTAAATGTTACCACCTCAGCAGGAAGGAGGCAGCCTGTCACTTGCTGTGTCCTGTGGTGAGGGTGAACACACTATCTGCCCCACAGGTAATCACAATGGCCTGGTAAATGAATTACAGGGCACACTGAGCATTGCTCTTCTCTTATGTTCCAGAGTCTCTTGGCTTGTTCCCTTCTTTGTCTCTCCATGGAGCGATGTGCCAGGGATGAAGCAATGGATCCATCAAAATCCGTTTGGTTTGTGGACACTCCACAGTAATGTCACATTTCTCCTGGTACAGCGTTGTGGGCTTCCCGATTAGACTGTGCATCTATCCATACCCAGCTCAGTGGACTGCCTGTCCTCCCCTCCCCTCCCCCACCTCCCCTCCTATCAGATTCCCAGACTGAGTTTCTCCTTCCTGCGCCACTGAAGCCTAGATGGAGGAACTCAATCCTGGTGGTAACAGACGGGTTTGTCCCTACCAAGACACTGGTGCCAAATGAGGCCTAGCTGTACAGAGCAATACTCAGGCTGCCTTGCCCTCAACTTTATGCAGCTCTGCTGAAGGAAATGAAAGACAATCAGTTTTGCATGTTTTCTGGCATGAATTTAAAACACTTAACTTGTGTATGTGTGAGTGTATAAGTTTGTTCTCGCTTTTGTGTAACTGTAGCAACAGGTCTTGGCCTAACTATTGATCCAGCAAGGTTTTTCATCTTGCTTCTGTGAAGACTTGGCTTTCAAAAATACTATCCTTGTCTCACCCCTCCTCGTCCACCTCCCCCGCCCCACGTTCTCCAGTCCGAACAGAAGATTTTTTGAAAAATGTTTGTTTAGAGTACAATGCACTGGGTTTCTTTTCTTGTCCGGTCTCTTCTCTCATTTTTAAAAAGTCAGGGTTATCTTTTTTCCTCAGACTTAGATATTTTACAGCTGTTATAACTTTTTCTCCCTCCTCCTCCTCCTCCTCCCTCCCCCCACATCCTTCTGATTGGAGAGATTCCAGTGTTGCCAAATCAGCTATCCTTATGGGAATTCAGAACAAAAAGTACGAGTATTTTTGTACTATGTGTAATAAGGAAATATTTATGCATCAAAGAATTTTTGTGTGTTTTTTCGTGTGCAATTATTGAAGAGAAACTGTAATCCGGTAAGATAAGTTAATGTTTAGTTAAAAGCTTGAAAGAAAAGTTTTTTCTGTAACAATGATTCCGTCAGGCGTAGTAAACAAACTGTGCAATTTTTGTTTTTTATTTTAGCATCTTATTGCTTGGTATTGAAGTGCTTAAGTATTATATACAACCATGGCTGTCTTGCTTGTATTAAGACTTCTGAGAATAAGTTGCTATAGAATTGCTGATCCTATGAGAATGTGAAACTGGATAATATATGAAATGCAGAAAATATACCCAGAGGCTGCTGTGACTTTCTTTCCTGTTGTCTGTGGTCTTTTTTCTTCTTCTGAGCACCAGAACTCTCAAAGCACCTCGGCCTGAGAGGAGCCCTGTGCCTCCCCAGGAGGCAGGTCTGCCATGCCCATTGTAGGTAAGGAAAGGGAGGCACCAGGGTTGAGTGACTCTTCTAAGATCACAGAGCAAGTCAGTGGCAGAACACAGGCATTCTGGTAGAAACGTACAAACTTTCTCACTCTCTCATGGCAGAAAGTGCTTGGGTTAGTTTGCGCACTCTAATGGGCAGTAGCTTGATTGTTTCTCTGAAAAGCCACATTTACCAACCCTAGAGTGACTTTCTCCCCCTGCAAGCTAGGAGCCTCCAGTGTCTGTCACCTCAAGTGTCTCGTGGTTCTTGTGATCACATGCTGTGACTGCCTCTCAGCAGAAATCCTCCAGACTGCCCCTCCCAGTCAAATTCAGCATGTGGCGTGCCAAGGCAAGGGCACTGAGTGGGCACCTTTCTAGCCACTCAGGCACCCCTGGCTGATGTCTGCAGAGGGTTGTGACCTTGCTCAGTCAGTGACCTGCTACTTGAGCTTCACTCAGTGTCAGAGCCTGCCTGGATGGAGATACTTCACCTCACTGCCTGCATTGTCTTCACAGCCCTGCTATGTGTACAGCGTGGCTTCTCTTAGGTCACAGGGACTTCCTCATTCCCAAGGCTCTTCCCCTCTGGCTTTGCAGGAGAAGCACTCTGGCTGAGTGGATGCTTCAGGCCCTGACCTACTTCTAGTTGTTGGGGGGTGGGGGTCCTTTCTCAGTCATTTAACATGCAGAGGAAAGCATTGTAAGAGCCTCTTGAAGAGGTAGGATGTTGGCATGTCTGCATGATGTACCTTCCCTACAGTCCCTCATGGGGGCCATGCCTGTGAAATGAGTGCCACTAAACTCGTAAGGGGAGAGCTGAGGCAGTGACTTCCACGAAGTAGAACACAATGGCAGCCTGTGTTTGGTAGGCCCTGGCGTGCAAGTATAGAAGTGCAGGCCTTACTGAATGTCACCATGTGCCACTGACCAGGTCTTGCCTAGAAGCACTGGCTGAGACCTTTCTTTTGCCCTTCAACCTATCTCAGGATGACTCTAGGGGCCTTGGTCTGTGTAGCCCTGAAGCTTTCAGTCTAGCTCACACCCCAGTGAGAGGCAAAAGGAGACATTTCCTCTGCTCGTTGTACATGAGGCCCTCTGCTCTTGGCATGGGTTGGATGAGGTCAAACACTTCCCCAAGCTGCTTGCTGTGTGAAGCCCTAAGACGTAAGCAAAGTGGAGCCTGCCCCTTTCCACCCCCCTGAGTAATTCCTTGGCTTCTAGAAACCTGTGCCTCTCCCTAACCCTTGGTGGCATTTCCTAGGGCTAGAGTAACAGCTGGACCTAGATATGCTCTCCCCAGAACTAAGGGCTTGGGTGTTGTCCTGGCCAGGTACTGCTTCTGAAGTTTTCCTGGTTGTAGACATGCTCATCCAAAGTGCATCATGTAAGCACTTTGCCTGCTGCTCAGCACAAGCTGCCCATGCCCCCTTCCCTTGCTCCACATTGCTGTGGGCTCTGGTTTTAGCCTCTGCTACTGGAGGGGAGCAGTCAATGCCTGGTTGAACTGCTGACTGCCTGTAGCAGTCAGATGCAATTTTGTAACGTGTGTGTGTGTGGTCTTTTTTTGGGGCCAACTTCTGCTTGTCACCACCTCTAAGTTAATCAGAGGCTTTCATCCATTTTGCTGCCCCCTCAGCTCCTACTCACGAGGCAAGGCTGCTCTCTAGCCTTCTGCTGAGGATAGGAAGGGCTCTCCCTTGGCCGTTGGAATGTTTTGCTGTTTATCCTGAGTAGGATGGGAAAGTAGAGATCTCCATAGAAGGAAAACATCCTCCACTGCTGCCTGTGGTCATACTCCTCCCGGTACTTGTACACTCCTTTGCTGCAGTGAGCTGGCTGGCTCAGGCGGGGAAGAGGACGTGAGGCTGCAGCCATAGCAAAGTCTGTACAAGGCAGCATTAGTCTGGCAGCCCAGGCCATGTGCTGGGCCCAGCCCCATGTTAGCAGCTGCTCACTTCTCCCTTCACTTCAACCTTTACTGCTGGCCCAGCCATTGAACACTGACTCAGGTGTGACCTACAGCTACACTAGCCCGAGATCTTAGCCAAAAGCAGAGCTGCTGGAGCAGAAGAGACCAGCCCACCCTGGTTGCTCTGGGATTCCAGCTACTGAGGGCTCGTGCTCTGATCAGCTGCTGAGAGGGGCTCGGCTGGAAGGCTTCCACCCCTGTGTTGCTGTGCTCCTGACTTGGGGAGCAGTGTGTGCTGGGTGACTGGCTCTTTGCAGCAAGGTTCAGCTTGCTCTCCGAGCTGTCACCTGGCAGACCCCTTCAGTGTTCAATATTTCCCTCCTGTGCGTGCGTGCCGGCCCCCCCCCCCCATTTAAAGGGTTGCTGTGATTGCAGAATCCAGCTGGGTGAGCACTGTAAGAGCTAGCAAGGATGGGGCCCGCTCTGCATGGTGGGCTTCCGGTCAACACCAGCTCTTGCTGTTAGGCTGGCAGAATGGGCAGCCCTCTCCCTCTGCCTGCACAGGCTCAGGGCTGCTCTGGGGGCCAGTGAAACATCACGCCGAGCTCTGAACCGAGAGGCGTGTTCCTATGAATAAATGATGAACTAGCCAGGCGTGCGGAAGCGACCACTCCAGATCTCTTTGGCTGGAGGAGAAACAGGCCCCACAGCTGATGGGGAGGGTGGCCTTGCTCACCTCAGGCTGTATGGGACTTACAAGCCTAGCTGTGAGCCAGTTCCCAGAGCAACCATCCTGCAGCTGGGGTAGCTGCGTGCAGCTGGACCAGCTCCTTTCCTTGCTCCTGGAACTGCTAGAATCCCATGCTAGGATGGGCCGGGGGGGGGGGGGGGGGGGCAGCCAAGATGCCCCACAGTGTCCCAGCAACAGTGGTGTGGGGCAAAAAGAGGCCACCTGTTTTGTGAGTTAGCCACTGGTGGGGTGGTGTAGCTGGTTGGGGTTGGTCTCCCTTCCCCTTTGCTCTGGCATAGCTCAGTGATGAGTGGAGTGACAGGTGGTTAGCCCCAGCAGGGGCAGCAGTTAGTGGCTCTGGGGGTATTTTCACTGCTAGAGCACAGGGATAGTGTCGCCACTACTAGCCTGAGCTGGGAGGGAGCATTTAATGGCTGGCCACAGGAGGGGAGGGGACTGGACCCTCCTGGCCTTTAGCTGGGCTAGCTCCTGCTGTGGGCCCTATGCTGCCCTGGAGTGGTTCTAGGTGGCTCTGTGCAGTCCGCTGGCTGAGATGCCCTTGTGCCGGCAGCCCCGGCAACCTTGGTCCTCAGCGGGCTGTGTGATGGCTCTGATCTCACAACCAGCTGTGCCTGCTGATGTCTCTGCTTCCTCCTGCAAAGATTGTGGCTTCTTGGGCTTGTTTTCTCTCTCTCTCCCAGAGCAGGGCCCAGCTCTCCAAGGGCAGAGCCAGGCAGCTTAATAAAGGCAACAAGCAAAACCAAGGAGTTTAAAAAGTCAGCTCTAAAAATAGCCCTTCTGGCCACGGTGCCTGGGAATTGGCTCACGCTGATGTCGCTGGGCAGGAGAAACAGCTCCAAGCAGGGCAGCCTGAGCAAATGTCTCCGAGCGACCGCCCTGCTTGGCTGGGGCTTTAGAGCTGCTTCACCTTCTGCTCTGGGCCAGAAGGTGGGGCTGGGGGCAGCTCCTTGCAGCTGAGATCAGCATGCCCCAGGGACCTAGGAGCTAGGCCAAGCACCAGCCCAGGAGACTGAGCCCCTCCACTCTGCTGTATCCTCCTGAAAGCAAGCAGCAGCAGGGATGTAGGCCAGGGCCTGGGCTGGCAGTGCTGGAGGAAGAGAACTCTGGGGAGCCTGAAATGGGCACCTTCCCTTCCCATAGCAAAGCGGCTGATGCTAGTACCCCACCCACCATGACCTCGCCCGCTGCATTGGGGGACGCACATCACTGATTCAACCTCCTTCCCTTGCGCTGGGAGGCTGCGCCCCCCAACCTCTCCTAGGGTTGGCTCTGGGGCCCCTAGCACTGTCCCTGGAATGGGCCGGTTTTGTCACTGGGCTGGGTTCCCCAAGTCTGCGTCTCAGGGCCTGCCCCAGAGCCTCCCCCCACACTCAGAGCTCTTCCCTGCTCAAGTCTCTGGCTGAGTTTGTGGTAAGCCTTTCTCCTCACCTCCTCTCCCCTCCGTCTGGCTGCCAGATCCAGCCACATCTCAGCTTTGCTCACCTAAGTGGAAAGCCTCCCAGAGGAGAGCCGGGGGCCAGCGCTGCCGGGCTGCGGGGCTTTAAATTATAGAGAAGATTTTAAAAAACCTTTAGCACATGCATTAACATGGCCTGGGCCATGAATAATTGACACCCAGTGCTAGTCAGCTTTTACACAGGGACCCAGCCCAGCCTGTGCTGCCGCCGAAGTAGGTCACGGCTGCTCCAAGTGTTCCTCGGCCATGGCTGTTGTAGAAA